AGATCTGACACCAGTTAATGATAATGACATGTGAATGTTTGAGTGAGCCATACAAAACCATCCGGACACAGATGTGGACTGATAAGCTTTAGTTTAATCTGCCTCCGACAGGCATCAGCTAAACAGTGACCAGAASCAGGAAACACACATTAAGTAACACACCACTTCGCATCATGACATATCTTAAAGGGACAGGATATTTCTGTACAGAGTCAAGATGTCAGATATTATTCCTCATGCTAATGTTTAATCACGATTCTTTTATGTGTTGTTTTAAATCAGACGTATCTAACTAAAAGCCCCCTTAGTCTGTGAAACCCTGATCCAGGTCCCACAACCCAGTCTGCACATAAAATCAGAATCAATCAATCAATCAGAAATAACCACATTATAAAAATACATTACTGTTCACATAATAAAAGACTATACAATGTGTAGTGTCTTTAGAAGTCAGTAGTAAACTACCCCAATAATTTCTTCAACAGTACAACATTTATAGAGTAACTGTTTAAACTAAAAMATACCACTGATTAAAAAATTGTACTGTGTTTAATTTGGTAATTTCATCAGCATCAAACGATGTCCTTTCAGATGATATTGGCATAATTTATTTTCTGTTTTTTGACTATCCTTCCATCATCCATCCATCCATCCATCCATCCATACATCCATCCATCCATCTATTCATTCTTTATCTGCAGCTAATTTTGTAGTCTGGTCACCAGTATAAAAATAACTCCACATTACAGCTCAGCTCCTTCTTCACCACAATGAATTGGCACAGAGTCTGCAAATACACAGAAGCTGGACCGATCTGTCTGTCAATCTCACACTCCATTCCTCCCTCATCTGTGAGCAAAACGCTGAGARACTTGAAATCCTCCYCTTGAGGCAGAYCCTCACCCCCAACCCAGAGAGAGCAATCCACCTTTCACAGWTGGYAGACTGAGGACCATGGACTCAGATRTGGAGGTGCTGATCCTCATCCCAGCTGCTTCACACTCAGCTGRGAACRGCTCCAGTGAGAGCTYAAGWTCASAGCATGATGACACCAACAGAACCACATCATCTGCAAACAGCGGAGATGGAATCATGAGGCCAKAGAACAGGACTCCCTCCGKCCCCTGGCTGCACTGACAAATTCTGTCAAWAAAAMTTARGAACAGAAATAATGACAACAGGCAGCCCCGGAGTCCATCTACCACTCTGAAGGGGTCAGACTTACTACAGGCAATGAGAACCAAACTCTTTTACCGCTTGTATAGAGACTGAATGACCTGTAACAATGGACCCATAATCCCATACTTTCGTAGCACCKCCCACAGTGTACCTTGAGGAACACGGTCGAATGCCTTCTCCAAGTCCACAAAACACACATAGACTGGATTAGCAAACTCCCATGACCCCTCGAGGACCCTAGTGAGGGTAAAGAGTTGGTCCAGTGTTTCACAGCCAAGATGGAACTCTCATTGTTCCTCTAGAATCTGAGGTTCAACTATCGATCAGACTCTCTCCTCTAGTACCCCTGAAAAACCTTACCAGGCAGGCTAAGGAGAGTGATGCCCCTGTTATTGGAGCACACCCMCCAGTCCCCTTTTTAAAGAGGGGAACCACCATCCCAGTCTGCCAATCCAGTGGCACTGCCCCCAATGTCCACACGATGTTGCAAAGGCGTGTCAACCAGGACAGCCCCACAGCATCCTGAGCCTTAAGGAATTCAGGGTAGATCTCGTCCACCCCTGGAGCCCTTCTGCCGTGGAGCTTTTTAACTACCTCAGCGACCTCAGGCCCAGTTATGGATGAAACAGACCACAAGATCCCAGCAACATCACTGGTCGAGGTCAYTAGCACTCCACCTTCACTGAGCACAGCGTTAGTGAAGMGCTGCTGTCTTTCAGCRGCTGGGTGATTTGCCTGAATCTCCTTGGAGCTGATTGAGAGTCTTTGTCCAAGGCCTCATCAKACTRCTCCCACATCTGAGCTTTTGCCTCAGCAACATCCAGGGCTGCGGCCCGATTGGCCTGCTGATACTCCTCTGCTGCCTCCGGATGCCTACCAGTCAATAAGACCTGAGAGSACTCCTTCTTCAACTTGACAGCCTTCCTCACTTGGGTTGTCAGCCACCGGGTTCAAAGTTGTCTGTCGTTAGACGCACCAATAACCTTGTGGCCATTGCTCACATTAGCCACCTCGACAATGGAGGCATGGAAAATAACCCACTCAGATTTAATGTCCCCCACCTTTGTTGGGATGCAGTTGAAGTTCTTTCTGACTGGTTCTTGTGCTAGACATTCCCATCAAACCCTTTCTATGTATGTTTGGGTCTACTGGGTCTGTCTAGCATCTGAGCTGTTGCCTCACAGGGTCACTCCCAACCTGGATCCTTTCTGTGTGGAGTTAGCATGTTCACCATCCATCCATCCATCCATCCATCCATCCATCCATCCATCCATCCATCCATTTTTCCTCACCAACTTTTTCCTTTTTTGAGTGTGGAAAGGTGGGTCCTATCTTCAGCAGTTATTGTGTGAGAGGTGGGGTACACCCTGGACAAGTCCAGGTCTCCAGTCCGTCACAGGGACACATAGAGACAAATGAGACAAARAACCATTCGTCTTTCACCACTGCAACAAAACCAGTCATATGATATTAGTTATGAGATTGAGCTAAAAAGGTTTAATCTGCAAGTTCCTGTTTTTTACAAGACCTCAYTTTTATCATGTAGCCTGCAGCTCAGAAGAAAGAAAGACCCTCTGTTCTCTGATCAGCTGATTCCTGTGATTATTTTACCTTTTTTTCCAGTTTGTTTACTGATCAAACAAGCGGCAGTGTTCAAAGTACTAACAAATGGTTCTAACCCCAAACTCTCAARTGGTAAAGCTCTGACTAAACATTACACTAACCTTATTCTATACAGCAGTCCGTCACCACTCTACCAAGCAACTAATGYCTGTAAGTCMGAGTTTCTTTCAATGCAATGCAACTCTTTCATGYTTCTGTTTTGAGCTGTGTGATTTCACTTCACTCATCATCTCTTGTTGATGAGAAACACCAGAATGTGGATCAGTCATACTTATCTTTACACTCAGAGGTATTAGGTTCATCTGTTTATCCCTTTGGCCCAGTTTACAAACAGCTCAGCCCAGTACTGATGACCCAGTACTGATGACTGCTTGGATCAGAGGGATGCTATCTGTCTGAGAAGACACCGGGAARGCAATGTGGACACAGTTTTATTCTTGTTAGTCCAGCTGCCTTTAAAGGGAACAGCCCCCAGCACCTTCATATGGTACATATTCAATGTAACAAAAAAAACTGACAAAGCTTTCTATCCCTCCCTGTATTATAGTGAATAATGTACTGTGATATTTGCGTAGGCTACAGAAGTCATATTGTTTGGCTGCTGATTTACTGTTACTACTATCTCTCAATTGTGGCTTTACTCATGGTGACTCCCCCCACCCCCTGCCCCRTCTCCAGCCCCCAAACCTGTTTCTCAACGGACTGTTTCACCAAYTCTCTAAATTTAACTGGGATGTCAACCTCACCTGTTTGTCTCTGTCAAACACCAGGAAGTTTTTTTTTCTATCTGTCACAAGCATTCAGCTTTGTTTCCAGAGYTGGAGCAATCAGCCATCGTTCACTCCTCCATGCTGTGTGGCATCTTCTCAGTCCGTTTGGTGTGAGCCGTTCCCTTTAGTCCAACAGGGGGGCTGTTTTTGACCTGCTGTACCCCTCAGGTTGAGAAGCAGACACCAAAATGGACACTAGGGGCCTGTCCTTGTCCTCTCCCTGGGCGTTTCTCATTGTGGTGTATATTAGCATTAGGTAATATAGACCTCAATGCACTTTGCTTTGACTTGAATCAGCTCCCTCTGGTGTACCTGTTCAGGTAATGCCCAGAACTCGTCACCGGGGGGCGCCAATGTCTTAAATGTGAAACACTTCAATTTGTGGATATTTGCACAGGTACTTTTTTATTTTTTAGAATAATATCATTAAAACTGGATTTATATCAGTCATTTGATGGCTGTATATAAAATATATGAATATAGTATATATCTTAGAGCTCAAGGTTTATTTATAGCTAGATCAAGGGAAGTAATACTAGATTAAACCAGTTTCTGTCAGTGACACGGAAGAACTGAACCAACCTGCAATCCTGCATGACTTTGGGGTTTTAGTGTGAAAAAATAAAACATGATGTACACCTAACTTTGGAGGCTTAATGAAATGCAGATATTATCAATTTGTAGAAATAAATTGTTGAGTGACGATTTTTTTCCCCTTTCACAAAAATAAACAGAAGGGCTCCAGTGAGACGCAGTGACTTTACACTAACTTGTTGCTAGAGGATGAAAATTTAACATGATTTCACAARAATCCTGAGAGCTCCATGGCATGCTAAACAACCCCAAGTTTTCAATCAAGCCATAGAAAAGTTGTGCTATTGTCTTCTGATCACAAATATGAGTCAGGTTGTTTGCAGAGTATTTTAGTGGTATTTTTTGATGTAAAGTGGAAAGAAGGTTATAATTTGGAGTCACAAACTCTCTTATAGTAAAAGGCAGATAAACATTGTCTTGAAGTGAACATTACTGTGAATTTTTTTAAAGTATTTGTTGAGTTGAATGTTAAGAAAATGCAGAGAGTGGTCTGGTTTGGTGAAACGGGACAGTATTAACACCCAGGGGGTTCAGTGTTTCACATCATCTCTTAACTAAATTTCAGAACAGTTGATGTTTTATGCAAAAGAGACTTAGAAATACCCACAGTGTGACTATGAGTTATTTTATTCTAAACTGAAGTTCTTTTCTTTCCCTCAGAAATAAACTGTAAACTGAAATGAAGTGGTTTTGGTACACAAAGAGAACATGGAGCTGAAGTTGAATAAAATTCACTGATGTTGGCATTTTTTTTTTTTCATTTTCTTGTCTTGTTTACACATTTATATCACATATTCTGTCTTTGATTACTCAGGTAAAAAAGACTTCCAAACATTTTTCATGGGGCACTTTTTATTGAACAGTATGAACAGGTGCAGCTATCGTTACTTTTTATAACAAAAAGTAGGTGATTCCCAGGATGTTACCCACCAACCCTGGAAAACTTGACAAAAAGACGTGAAAAGAAAAAAAAGTTGGAAGGAAGATCAAAGGTTGGCAGAGGCAAGAGTCTCTATTTGAGCGGCCGGTCTCTGCTCACCCGTCAGACGGCTCCATCGTACATGAATGGTCACAAGTGAAAGCAAAGATTGTCCCTCTTTACTTCTGTGCGGGGATCATGCTGTCGATGGCCTCTCCCTTCTCAAGCTTCTTCTCCATCTCAACCATCAGCTTGACACCATCAACCACCAGCTGGACCTGATCTACCTCAGAGGAGCCTAGACGGTCAGCGTTGGAGATATCAAACACACCACCCACAGATGCAGTGTCCACACCACCTGAAGGGAATTACAGCAGATTAGACATTACAAACGGTCAAGCTGATGGTAGCAACAACTGTGCAAACATCAGACAGTCTGTGAATACCTGTGCCACGCTTCTGCAGACGCAGCCTTGTGAGGATCTCCTCAAATTTGGGATGTGTGCTGAGCTTGGGCAGCTTGACGTGGACGCCACCGCGCAGGCCGGTACCCAGGTTGGAGGGGCAGGTCAGGATGTAGCCGAGATGCTCGTTCCACATGAAGCCATGGTTGTGCTTCTTGAAGATCTCCTCAATCTGAGATTTACGATAGGAGAMTCAGTCAAACATACTGTAATCATGATACAACATAATGTGGCTTTTATCAGCTCCTCTGCAGCGTTTTTCCCATCGTGTACCTTCTGCAGGCCAACGCAGAAACGCCTGAAGACCTCCCTCATGTTGCCACCCTTTTGCATAGAGATGACACGCAGGTGATCCTCCTCGTTCACCCAGACCAGGAAGGTTTTGTTGTCGTTGTGCCTAAGATCAGATCAAAACGCAGAATTAACTGAATGCTTAAAAAACTACGAATTGTCACTGAAAGTTCAGGAAAATATTTACTAGAGCTGGTCTACCCACGGGTACCCACACTCACCAGATACCTCTGGCATCGGGCCAGTCACGGGCCATACCAGCGCAGGTAAGCAGGGGAGAAACAGGCTTGTCAAAGAGGAAGTGATCATTGATCAGCTGTTCCTGCTCAGCATCAGTCATGGACTTCAGTGGGTAGTACTTTCCCTTGAACTCACCATCCAGGCTGGTCAGAGCTGCYCAAACAGACTGATTGTTAGGTGTTTTAACAAAGGTAAGCCGTGCTACTCTGTGGTTATGATTTGCTGATAACTGAGCTATCAACTAGGGATGCACGATATATCGGTAATGATATCGGTATCGGCCAATATTGGTCATTTTTTAGAATATCGGTATTGGTCCGATATGTATAACTGGGCCGATTTTAACGTCTGATATTGATTTCCCACTTTTTATCTTCGTGTTTCTGTTCTGCGAGGGGAGATGGTTGGTTGAACGGCATCTGTTTGATTATGATAGGGATATTGATGCTGTGRAGCCAGGAATAACTGAAGTAGGGAGCCATGTCAGAYGTCTGGTTATTTATGGTTTCAAAAAAGATCTAAGCATGTTTGTGCATATATGTATTATATAATTTGTGTGCTTGTGTAATATCGGTAAATATCAGTTATCGGCCATAACAGCAATAATTATATCGGATATCGATATCGGCTGAAATTTTCATATCAGTGCATCCCTACTATCAACACAGCACGCCTTTTGTCTTTGCTCAACCCTTTCCATACAAGTATTTACTCGAACAGCTTACCCTCAATAGACAGCTTCTCAATAGCTCTGCGCTCGCCACGGCTGTTGTGGGGGGGCAGGGTGTATCCCTTGATGCTGCGACCAGTACGAACACGACTGGACAGGACGTAGTTAGGGTCCAGGTCGTCACCACCCTAATGACGACAGCAAGAACAAATCTAAATGTCATCTTTTCGAGGTGTTCAAATGTCAGTGGCTGAAAAAATGTATCAGCCCCTTCTGGTTTCAGTTTCTTCTCGATTAACCAACATTCTGCTATTTGACAGGTATAGTTCTGTACCTTCAGGTTCTCAAAGTTGAGGTCTGTCTTGTGCTTGTCAGTAGGCTTGTATCCACCATGACGGTCGGAGATGACGGGATCCAGCAGATCCTTAAAGACCTCATAGGACTCCTCATCACCAGCGACACAGCCAACAGTCATGATGAAGGGGTGACCTGAACACAAAGAACAAGTAAATTCAAGGGAAACAATGAGAAGTTTAAAGGAGACCAATTATGGGGCCTATAAATGTTTATGGTWTGTCTGTGGGCTATCCAGACCATGTTCATTCAYTTTAATGCWCAAAATAATTCTCAGATAATAAAATTTCCCATTTTRTAGTTCTGCCTGCTCTGATTTCCGTCCAGAAGAGCTGTTTATGTTAATGAGCTCTGTTGGTAACGCCCTCCAAAAATCTGTTGACATTAACTCCGCCCTCCAAAGCCAGCGTTTACCTTAGCATGGCTAATAATAGTAGAAGCTCCGTTGTACAACCATATGAGACCCAGAGGCAGAGTCGTGTTCCCAGCTTCTTTTTTTCCTCTCCGTCCTCTGCTCTGCGCTCACTCTGCATGCTGTTACCAGAGCAGGGAGCAGCAATGGTCAAAATACCTCAGAAACTCGAACAAATAGGCTTTAACAAGGCTTTAATAAGCTAAACAATAGAGGTACATGAGAAAATGTGTTCATAATGAACGAAAATAAAAAAATATTAAATTCTGTCCATGCTGCTCTCTGGACCATCACTCTACCCATTGCCCTATTGGAGGCTCGTTATGAAATGAGCTGCACATTGCACAACAACCGTGACGGCTTTTTATACTGAGGAGGAGTTTCACCCAGGGATTGCTAGGTAAGGGGCTGAACGCAGGTTCTGGTGGGTTGTCGTACGGCTTGTGACATCACAAAATGACGGAAGTATAAAACTTGTCGTTAATATACATTAAAAATACATTTACTTACAGTAAATATGCCCCTGGGTGCATTTTTTGYTCCTATGACTGTTTTTTAAGAAGTACATACCCAAAGTTGAATAAAAAAAACTTTAAAAAGTGAATTTTGCGTAATAGGTCCCCTTTAATAGTTTATGAATAATACATGTTTTGTGAACGTTCTGCTTATCCTGAAACAAATTTGTGTAATGTGAAATGGCTCTTGGTCTCACCAGGGTTGTCAATACCAGTCTGGATGACATCATCCAGAGTGTAACCACTGGGTGTCTGCTTGTCCCTCAGTTTGCCGTACACCTCCTTGGTCAAGACCTTAGCCATATGGTTGTTGTGTTTGGACAGGTCTGGGTACTCATCATCAACTGTGTAGTTGAGCTTGAAGTTGTTGTGGGTGTTTCCGAAAGGCATGATTGCTTTCTAACACTACAGAGAGGAAGAAACAAGGAAAAACAAGCATTACTATCAGAAGATTTGCAGCCTGAGACAATTATGAACCAAAGTGTCCTAATCTGGCCCAATGCTATGATTCAAATAGCTTTAAAATGCAGTGAAATGTTGGACATGAGTTATTCTCTAAAACAGCTGCACATTTCCTACAGTTGAGGAATCCTGGTAACAAGTGTCACTCAGTTTCCAAAGGCTCATGTGTCCCACTGAAATGGAGAGTAGAGGAAGGAGTGCCCGTCCTTTGGTTATTTTTAGCACCAGTACATTTGACTATATTCCCCTCATGTACTTGGCAAATGCCAACTGTCCATTAATTATGTAGTACAGATAGAAAAAGACCTTACCTTTACTTTTATATTACTAAAAGCTGTCACTATGCTGAACCTCAGACAGAATTCTAATGAGTTGTAGACAGGAGGTTTCCTTCCTATCTACCACATCACAGGTTTCATTACAATTATCTACTTTATTCTGGTCTTGGTAAATGGTAAATGGACTGTACTTATATAGCACATTTCTATCCAACCAGTATACCCAAAGCTCTTTACAATCTGTAGCCTCATTTACCAATTCACATTCATTCAGCACTCTTCTATATCTCTATAAAAGCTAAAAGATTAATCGCAATAGTTGGAAAAAGTATTTTTAATGGGACAGTTAAAAATCAAAGCTCAAAATGACAATATACTGATTTCTAAATGGCTAGGTTGTAGGACATGTAGTCCGTCCAACATAGTTAAACTGATAAGACACACAAGAAGACTCAGATCATGTAGATGCAGAGATTCAAGTTAATGCATGTAAAACCAAATCCTAGAAATGTTTCTGGTAATGKTAAAACTATTTGAAAAAATTCAGAAACTGTTTTATTGTAAGATATAAGTTGAGGATGGACCTTTTATCTTTAGTTTTTGTAATAGAAAATAAGGTTCAAAATCCTTTATTTCAGTGGAACCAAAGCTTGTGCRGTTAGCTACCTGTGCAGTTAAAATYTTTCCAATCTCTGTTTTAACCTGTTTTCAACACAGCAGGTCCTAACATCGGTCACATTTCCTTACCTGCACACACGACAAGAACAGAGGTAAGTCCGTGGGATCAGATCCTGTTCACAACTGCCAAAATWGGGGTCACCCAACTCTGAAGGTCTCTGCTCCTTGTTTATATACGGGACAAACACTCAGCCATTGGTTTGGCCATGTTAGTGCCTGCTGAGCCCTCATTGGCCAGAGGTCCAGTACAGARACTCGGAACAGTTAATGAAAGGGACGCCTTTGCTTCACTGTCGTCCAACACAGTTGCTGCAGCTGTACCCTCACCCCTCACCCCACCTGGATCCATACATAGCCCCAGTAGTATGACAGGGGTCCCTGAGGGGAGGAGCAGGTCATACGAGTAACCCTGACAGAGGTGGAAGTGTCAGAGCTGGATGGCGTTAATTTGGATTTCAGTATCACTGTGAAGAACTTTGGTGTGACGTTTGACCGGGACACTAGTTTTTAAAACAGATGTACTCTTTTAACAATGTGAGAAACTGTTCAGGGTGTTTGATGAATTTGTGGTGGTCAATGCTTCGTTTTTGCAGATCTGGTTGTTGAGCCTGTTGGTATCCACCACCCTCAGTCTGCTGGACCAGCATGTCACAGCAAAGACAGCAAGGCTGTTGGGATGAAGCTAATGACAGAGGTGACTGGGAGGAGGGTGTTAAAAACARAATAAAAACTAAACAAAACTGACAACTGAGAAGGATAACTGAAAGCTTAATGGTTTATTTTTTGATATGTTCTATATAACATTACTTTTATTGGTTGATGTGGCRGTTGTTAATATTTTCAGAGGGGTTATATTATTGAATTCATTTCTTAAGGTATTTTTTTATTTTTTCTTTCTCATATTTTTAATGTACATATGGAGTGCTATCCGCCTAGTGGTAATAAATTATATTTGAATTTAATTAACTTGAATTCCATATTTTAGCTTTGATATAGAAAAAAACCCTGTGTAAAGACCAACTGGAAAAATGTGCAAAATCTATGTGGGTCCCATCACTTGAGTACTACGCGGGTACTATTTACTGTAATACAACACGGACTAATGGTAGGGACTAATCCTTCATGACATGGAGGAGTCTCTGGTGTCTCGGTCCTCTCTCTCACTATTGTCCTTCTTGTCTTTTAGTTCAGTGATTCCCAACCAGGGGTACGTGTACCCTTTGGGGTAGGTGAGCATGTTGCAGGGGGTACGTGGAAAAATTTCCTAGATGTGTAAAAACAATAAATAAAAACAGGACTGAGATATYAAGGGCCCTATGATTTCAGCAATGCAGAAAATGCAGACAAAATCATGGATTTGACACTAAATTGAATCTTGTTTAAAACGTGGATTCTCACAGAATTTGCTCATTTGGGGTATTTGATGTATTTTGGATGCTGCTGCTTCCTGCACCTGTCATTACCTAGTTTATTTCTTTAATTACTTATTCACTTTCAAGGCAACGTTTTTATCTTTATGGTTAATTTGATTTGAAAAAATAAAATAAAATGCCAGAGAATTAAATGTTCTAGCGGGTTAAATAAATAATTTTCATTTAATAATCAGTTTATGTACATTGTAGTTTCAGAGAATCATCATTACATCCTGATGCATCTCAGTAATCCAGGTAAAAAATCAAAAATAAAAAATTGTATAGGTCTTCTGGACGGGTTCTTCTCTAATGAAACGTTTCGTCTCTCCTCCAAGAGACTTCTTCAGTCTGAGAGTTTCAGGCAAAATTCAGGCTTTTAAGCCCTGCCTCCATGTGACTGATACTCACATCACATGGCTATCGTTGACACCTAATTAACACTTATTTTTAACAGGGGGTGGAGTGATAGTGGCAATAGCCGCGCTGTAGGAGGGGGACAACTGAAAYCGGAGGCCTCCACCTCTGTTTAATGATGGACGGTCTTTCTTCACAAAAATGGCTTCTTTTACTCCTCTCTCAAACCAACGTTCCTCTCTATCAAGAATGAGAACATCCTCATCTCTGAAAGAGTGACCGCTGGCCTGTAAATGAGTGAAAACTGCAGAGTTCTGGCCATTAGATGTAGCTCGTCTGTGTTGGGACATTCTTTTGAACAGTGGTTGCTTTGTTTCCCCGATGTATAACTGGTCGCAGTCCTCCTGGCACTTAACAGCATATACAARATTGCTCTGTTTGTGCCGGGGCACCGGATKTTTGGGGTGAACCAGCCTTTGCCGTAATGTGTTTTGGGGTTTGAAAGCCACTAATCATCATTACGTTTGACAGAGGGGGTACTCGTGGTATGACAAAATGGCTCAGGAGGTACACAAGTCTAAAAAGGTTGGGAACCATTGTTTTAGTTTGTGAGGACGACCGTCTCTTGGTGGATTGACACGTTCCCTTATTCATAAAGTCAAGAACTCATGCAAGTCTTTGAACTCTACATGTTTGACTGCAGCTGGTAGTTTCTTTAGTTAGTTTTTTATGCTGAACATTCCGGAACAGATTTTTTAACAGTATTTATTASAAGACCAATAATCATCTGCCTTCCTCTGATGAAAGGAACTGGGTCCAAATGTTCAGGGTCAACCCAGAACACCAACAGTCCACTCCTCTTTCCAGGGTTGCTTCAGTTCTTTGAGGTTRCAGCTCACCTCTCTGAAAGTCCAACCACACCATTTCAAACAAGTTCTGAACCTAGCACCTTGATTGTRCTTTTGTTTTGACCCGTTCTGTTGTGGATCAGCTTTGGGATCGTGTTTCAATTGGACCTAGTTTGGTCCAGTCTTCAGTTGTCAGACAGATGGAATCACGACTCTAGAATCCTTTGGTCCACTCAGTAATMACAAATGTCCAGGAAAACAAGCCCAAACCATCAGTGGTCCTCCACCCTGCTGACATGTTCTTATTGGTTCATCTACTTTTGGTCTTGTTTTGTTCCAGAAACTCAACAAACCTAGGTCAGCTTGCAGTTTACTGTGACTCTATAAAAGGACTAAATAGGTTGAATTATAAAGAAAAAGTAGAACCACTGTCAGAGTCGACACCACTTAATGACTGTCTGCTCACTTCACTCACAGCATCGTGACTCTGGAACAGTTATGTAATAAGGCGGTGATTCGATGCYCGCTCCTTGTGCCATGTACCCTTGTGGCCATGGAGTTCCTCCAACTTCACAACATGCTGGAACCCCTGCAGGCCACATAAATAGTCGCCCAATCACACAGCTTCTCTGATATCCCAGTCAGATCAGATTAATAATAGTTCCTCAGAAAACTGTTTAGCAGACAGAACGTTTTTAATAAAGGGCATGTTTCTTGAATGTTGGCACATTGCTGTYTCCCACAGTGTGTTAAAGAAGTGTGAGAGAGTTCAAAGTCCTGCAGGACGTTTTCTTGAAACAACGTGAACCTTTGAAAGGAATCCTGGCCCGCTGCACTGAGCCGTGTCAAAATAGCACAGTGTCAAGCTGCACTTGCGTCCACTGCTACACTCACGTATAAACTCAAACCTCAAGTTGCTCAATTATATATAACAACTCATCATTTTAAGGCTTTTTCAGACATGGAAGTGGCTGTTGATTATAATTCAGTGAAACCTGATCAGTTCAGTCACTTTATGTACTTAGCAACTTAATACAACAATGCACCAAGACGCTAATGATTACAGCCTAATGGCAGACTGTATTTCAAGCTCCTTCTGACGGTCCAGCAGCTGTCTGAAGAAGACCAGCATGGCCACAGACATCACGCAAACACTTTGTCTTTATAAAGGAAGCTTTTTATGATTTGAACATTTGCTGACAACTACAACTTGTTTTTCTGACCATCTAAACCCTAAAACCCAGCATATTCAGATGATACACAATTGTACCAACTGTTGACGCAGTTCATGAATTAAAGATMAATTAATTTGGATTAGTTCATTTTTAAATCACTATTTCACAAGAAGTCATCTCAGAGAACTGTACAAAAACTTCACAAACAAAATGCTAAATTGTAAAAGTTGTCTAAATGAAGCCATTCGTTTGTCCTGAATCTTTTTTTAGTAGAACTGGTCTTTGTGAAGCCAGGGTTGGGGCTTCGCTGCAGTGCTGGTTGGAATGTCAGAGCTTGGTCCTCCTCCACTGGAACTCAAGTCACGTGTGCATATCATGGTCAGAGAAGGCTATAATTAAACCACGTTTGCTGGGCCTTTCTGCACACTGTCAGAGAGAAACTCTGGCCCAGTCAGGACCCGGATTCAATTTCATCATGTCAGTTTTCTGTTCATCTAAACCTAGCTTTAACTTAATTCTTTAAAAACTGCAGATAAAGGGCTTCTTTCATGTTCTGACTCAGTGTTAATACAGAAACTGTAGTTAAAATGAGATTAGGGCCATTGAAGCATTGACAGATGAGTCACGCTAGTCTACTGTTATATAGATGGTTGGACCTTTAATTAGGATAATCTGGATCAGCACGTTCATTCAAAGCATCTGATACTAAAAGTTTATTTCATAACAAATATGTATCAGTTCATCTGACTGAATTAAGGGACAAATGGAGCATGAAATGGATAAACAGATCAATGAGGTTTCTTCAGTGTTGTGGACTCTGTATTAATCTGTTGTGGTTCAGAGGGAGCTGAGCTGTTTACCGGTCAGTTTACATTCCTACCCTCATCTATGGCCACAAACTTTGGGTAGTGACCAAAGAGGTTCTATAAAACAGCTGGAGTGCAGAAACCAGGTGACCATGTGTAGGGG